ATGTGCAGAACATGTGGATTTGTTACATAGGTGTACCTGTGCCATAGTGCTTTGCTGTACCTATTGACTCATCCCTGTAAGCTCCCTCCCCTAGCCTCCCAACCCCCAACAGGCCCCGGTGTGTGATGTTCCCCTCCCTGTGTCCATGTGTTCTTAGTTTTCAACTCCCACTTATGAGTGAGAACACGCGGTGTTTGGTTTTCTGTTCCTGTGTTAGTTTGCTGAGGATAATGGCTTCCAGCTTCATCCCGGTCCCTGCAAAGGACATGATCTCATTCCTTTTTATAACTGCATAGTATTCCATGGTGTATATGTACCACATTTTCTTTATCCAGTCTATCACTGATGGTCATTTGGGGATTCCATGACTTTGCTATTATAAATAGTGCTACAGTAAAGATACGTGTGCATGTGTCTTTAGAGTAGAATGATTTATAATCTTTTGGGTATATACCTAGTAATGGGATTGCTGAGTCAAATGGTATTTCTGGTTCTAGATCCTTGAGGAATTGCCATGCTGTCTTCCACAATGGTTGAACCAATTTACATTCTCACCAATAATTTAATGAGAAGTGTCTGTTCATATACTTGATATAGTTTTTGGTGGGGTTGTTTTTTTCTTGTAAATTTGTTTAAGTCCTTTGTAAATTCTGGATATTAGTCCTTTGTCAGATGGGTAGATTGTAAAAAATTCTCCCATTCTGTAGGTTGCCTGTTCACTCTGATGACAGTTTCTTTTGCTGTGCAGAAGCTCTTTAGTTTAATTACCTCCCATTTGTCAATTTTGGCTTTTGCTGCAATAGCTTTTAGTATTTTCGTCATGAAGTCTTTGCTCATGCCTGTGTCCTGAATGGTATTGCCTAGGTTTTCTTTTAGGGATTTTATAGTTTGGAATTTTATTTGAGGTTGGGGTACGGAAAATTACTGAGGCACTGTGTATGTTATTTGTGCATGGGAATGAAACTCCTTGACCCTGAAAACAGGACAGGGATTGGAGTGTAAGGAACGCTGAAAACAGCCTCCTGAGGTTGCAGCTTGTGCGTTGTGCAAGGTAGGTGCCTCAGCAACCCGCCTCACATGGCCATCTAGTGGATGTTTGTAGTTAATACGAAGCCCTTTAAATAAGTACCTGGCGAGATGCGGGGGTGGATTTTCTCAGAAGAGCCACCTGCCAGCCCTGCTCAGCTGGAATTGTCTAAGTACTTCATTCAGCATTCACTGCAAGCTATAATCTCTGCAAATGGTGACCCCGACGTGATTGCCTTGAAGTTACACGTGAAGGAGGAGAGCTCGTCAATTTTCGGGGAATCCTGGTAAGGGACAGTCCTGACTCCCATCAGGACATGAGCAAGTATAAAATATCAGGGGTTAGGATATCATGGGTCAAGAAATGACCAAAGAGCAGAAAATACTTTTTAAAACAGAGCAACAGCTACTTAAGGCAATCCAGTGCACTGTGGAGCCTGGAGCTCTGTGCAAGCTTATGCTCTTAATTCAGCAGGAATGTCCATGGCTTCCTGATCAAGGAACCTTAGATTTAGAATTACGGGAGCAGGAAGGTCACTGCCTGAAAAGAGGATATAAGCAAAGTCATTTCCCTAACGTTACTATTTTGACCACCTGGGTGCTGGTATGCTCTGTGTGGTAAATTCTTTATCTGCCAGATTGCGGTGAGTCACACTGCCCATCTTCTCCACCTGAAGAGAATTCAGATTTAAAGCAGAAGGAAGAGCAGGCATCAGAACAACAGGCAGGGATTTCTCTCCCCACTTCATTCCCTTCTATGGGGAATAAGAAAAAGATTTTAGTGATGATGAAAATGGACCGGAGCCTTTTCCTCCCCCTGTAGAAAAGCCATTGCCCTCTTTCCTCCACCCTTAAAGGGACCTGCATCTGTTGGTCCCGTCCAGGCAACAGTGCCTCCCATCCTCCTTAAGTAGATTGGAGGCCGCCCAAGGGGCTGTTCTTGGATAAGACCCCCAGGCAGCAAACATCTATATGATCAGGTGGCCATGTCTCCTCGATAAACTTTCCTGCTGGAGGAGTGCCTCCAGGACAGAAGGAAAGTGGCTGATTATGATTGTCTTCCTACTATGTATTTCTCACTTCCTATTTCCAGCATCGGCCTTTCTGGCCTTCTGGGTTTTTTTGTTTGTTTGTTTGTTTCCCTGGAGTATAAAGGAAAGTTGCATGCTGCCTCCTGAGTTTTATCCCAGAAAGCTCTGGCTTTCTTGCTGCCCACAGAGGCCTGGGGCAGGAGAGTTGCTAAGATGCCATGGAGTGCCCATTTAGTCACTGGCAGTCTAGGCAAGTTGACCCTTTCTGGGTTTGTGGTGACAGAGGGGAGGCCAAGTGGCGCAGATGGAATCCCTGGGTGGCTGTGGGCAGCTCCAGCCCGGTCCTGAGATGCCTCCTCACCATGGTCACGTGCCTCAGTATTTTTCCATGTCCAGACCTCAAATGTCATGTACGTAAGCTTGACTATGTCGCCGTGCGCCCCCTACAGTAGTAACTGTGAATGGGAGCTCATTCATGATTTGGCTCTCTGATTGGCTATTATTGGTGTATAGAAATGCTTGTGATTTTTGTGCATTGATTTCGTATCCTGAGACTTTGCTGAAATTGCTTACTAGGTTAAGGAGTTTTTAGGCTGAGATGATCGGGTTTTCTAATTATACAATCCTGTCGTCTGCAAACAAAGACAATTTGACTTCCTCCCTTCATGTTTGAATATCATTTATTTCTTTCTCTTGCCTGATTGCCCTGGCCAGAACTTCCAATACTATATCGAATAGGAGTGTGGCAGAGGGCATCCTTGCCTTGTACCAGTTTTCAAAGGGAATGCTTCCACCTTTTGTCCATTCAGTATGATATTGGCTGTGGGTTTGTCATAAATAGCTCTTATTATTTTGAGGCATGTTCCATCAATACCTAGTTTATTGAGAGTTTTAAACATGCATCCATTGAGATAATCATGTAGTTTTTGTCTTTAGTTCTGTTTATGTGATGGATTACATTTATTGATTTGTGTATGTTGAACCAGCCTTGCGTCTCAGGAATGAAGCTGACTTGATTGTGGTGGATAAGTTTTTTGATGTCCTGCTGGATTCGGTTTGCCATTATTTTATTGAGGATTTTTGCATCGATATTCCTGAAGTTTTTGTGTGTGTGTGTGTATGTGTCCTGTAAGGTTTTGGTATCAGGATGATGCTGGCCTCATAAAAGGAGTTAGGGAGGAGTTCTTCCTTTTCAATTGTTTGGAATAGTTTCAGAAGAAAAGGTGCCAGCTCCTGGTACCTTTTCTGGTTAGACTTTGGCTGTGAGTCCATCTGGTCCTAGGACTTTTTGTGTGGTAGGCTATTAATTACTGCCTCAATTTCAGAACTTGTTATTGGTCTATTCAAGGATTTGGTTTCTTCCTGGTTTAGTCTTGGGAGGGTGTATGTGTTCAGGAATTTATCCATTTCTTCTAGATTTTCTAGTTTATTTGTGTAAAGGTGTTTATAGTATTCTCTGATGGTAGTTTGTATTTCTGTGGGGTCCGTGGTGACATAGCCTTTATTTTTTTAATTGTGTCTATTTGATTCTCCTCTCTTATCTTCTTTATTTGTCTAGCTATCATTCTATTTTCTTAATCTTTTCCAAAAAAAAACCCAGCTCTTAGATTCATTGATTTTTTTGGAGGGTTTTTCGTGTCTCTGTCTCCTTCACTTCTGCTCTGATGTTAATTTCTTGTCTTCTGCTAGCTTTTGATTTCCTCTTGTTTTTCTAGCTCTTTTAGTGGTGAAGTTAGAGTTTTGATTTTAGATCTTTTTAGCATTCTGATGTGGGCATTTAGTGCTATAAATCTCCCTCTTAACACTGCTTTAGCCGCAATCCAGAGATTCTGTTACATTGTCTCTTTGTTCTCACTAGTTTCAAAGAACTTCTGGATTTCTGCCTTAATTTCATTATTTACCCAGAAGTCATTCAGGAGAAGGCTGTTCAGTTTTCATGTAGTTTTGTGGTTTTTAGTGAATTTCATAATCCTGAGTTCTAATTTGATTGCACTGTGGTCTGAGAGACAGTTTCTGCCTATGACTTCCGTTCTTTTGCATTTGCTGAGGAGTGTTTACTTCGAATTATGTGGTCTGTTTTAGACTAAGTACTATGTGGCACTGAGAAGAATGTATATTCTATTGATTTGGAGTGGAAGGTTATGTAGATGTCTATTAGGTTCACCTGATCCAGAGCTGAGTTCAAGTTTGAATATCCTTGTTAATTTTCTGCTTCATTGATATGTCTAATATTGACAGTGGGGTGTTAAAGCCTTCCACCGTTATTGTGTGAGAGTCTGTCTCTTTCTAGGTCTCTAAGAACTTGTTTTATGAATCTGGGTGCTCCTGTATTAGGTGCATATATATTTAGGATACTTAGTTTTTCTTGTTGAATTGATCACTTTTGCCATTATGCAGTGCCCTTCTTTGTCTTTTTATCTTATTTCACATTCCAGGATACATGTGAAGAACGTAAGTAAACATATGCCACAATGGTTTGCTGCACCGATCAACCCATCACCTAGGTATTAAGCCCTGCATGCATTAGCTATTTATCCTGATGTTCTCCCTCTCCCCCACCCCCTCGACAGGCCCTAATATATGTTGTTCCCCTCCCTGTGTCCATTGTTCAGCTCCCACTTATAAGTGAGAACATGCAGTGTTTGGTAAACTTTCAAACTTCAAAGCCATTATTTTCGACCACAACTCAGAAGAAGCTGTAGTGAACAGTGAGATGGCTGGTTGTTGTTGACTGAAATTTTCACCCTCCATCACTAATTACATACCACTTAAAAGCATTTTATTAGGTAGGTCAGACTCGTTACAAGTACTATTTCTTAGACATTTAAGTAGTATACATTTTTGCTAAATGGTGAAAAACAAATTATGTGATCATCTAAATGGGCTCCAGACTCCACGTGCCATTTTTTTATACTTTCACTGTTTTCCCCACCTTAGCTCCTTTCAGCATTCCCATAAATGCAGCTAGCATGTGTTCAGATCCTTCAGTGATATATTCCTGAACTGGGTTTTACCCTCTGAGACCCATTTTAGCAAGTCCTTCAGAGCTTTTTGGCGGGCATCTCCTTTCCAGCAGGTGATGATGAAATCTTTCATGTGAAGCTCCTGATAGATAAAAATCTCTGGTGGTGGGCCTGGGGAAGGTGGCCCCGTACTGTTACATGTAGATGACTCCTCATATGGCAATTCTTCCAAATTTCTTCATCTGAGAGATAACAATGTTTGAAAACTCTCCACCTACATTATCAAAATAATAATCGTATCCATCAGGAGAGGCTTTCTTCAAAGTTTCTTCAAAGACTCTACTGTCTTGTAGTTAAAGACAACAACAAATCCAAGCTTTTTAAGGTAGGCAGTCTTTTTGTCGGGCCCTACTGCTCCAACTGCTTTGCAGCCCTTGAGCTTTGCAACCTGCCCCACCGCAGAGCCCACAGCTCCAGGTGCTGCATTAACCATCACTGTTTCTCCACCCTTCACACCACAGAGGTCAAGTCAGCCAAAGTAAGACAGTGGCACTGTGTAGGACAACTCTGTTGGCAGCTTTTCAAGATCTTTCCCATCAGAAATGGAGTGTGCTTGTTCAGCCTGAGGGAGCCACTCCAATGGTTCCTGCTAGTAAGGCTATATTTTTACTTTCCACAACTCTGGCCACTTGTTGCCCCATCATTGTATCACCTTCCTTCAGTATTTTGGTTGCCACTGTCATGTAAGAATCCATGGTGAGGAACAAAGCTTCAAGCAGGACCTCTCCATTTTTTAAGGGTGGGGGCTCAGCTGTCTTTGACTCAAAGTCACTACTAGTAGGATTGCCAACAAAGTGCTCCTTCAGGGTCCATCTCTTAGCATGAACCATCTTGACGCTCAGGAGCCTGAGGGTTCCACTGCCTGGTGAAGGTGGCTGGGATGGCCTTCTTTGTCTTTTTTGATCTTTGCTGGTTTAAAGTCTGTTTCATCAGAGACTAGGATTGCAACCCCTGTTTTTTGTGTTGTTTTTTTCTTTCTCTTAGCTTAGTAAATTTTCCTCCATCCTTTTATTTTGAGCCTATGTGTGTATTTGCATGTAAGATGAGTCTCCTAAATGCAGCACACTCATGGGTCTTGACACTTTATCCAATTTTCCAGTCTGTGTCTTTTAATTGGGGCATTTAGCCCATTTACATTTAAGGTTAGTTGGTTTTGTTTGTTTTTTGTTTTGACAGGGTTTCACTCTCATTGCCCAGACTGAAGAACAATGGCATGATCTTGGCTCACTGCAACCTCCACCTCCTGGGTTCAAGCGATTATCCTGCCTAAGCCTCGCTAGTAGCTGGGATTACAGGTGCTTGTCACCACACCCAGCTAATTTTTGTATTTTTAATAGAGACAGGGTTTCACCGTGTTGGCCAGGCTGGTCTCAAACTCCTGACCTCAGGTGATCCACCCGCCTTGGCCTCCAAGAGTGCTGGTATTACAGGTGCGAGCCACTGTGCCTCACCAAGGTTAGTATTGTTATGTGTGAATTTGATCCTGTCATCATGATGCTAGCTGGTTATTTTGCACGCTAGTTGATACAGTTTCTTCACAGTGTCATTGGTCTTTACATTTTGGTGTTCTTTTGCAGTGGCTGGTACCAGTTTTTTCTTTCTATATTTAGTGCTTCCTGGAGGAGCTCCTGCAAGCCAGGCCTGATGGTGACAAAATCTCTTGGAATTTGCTTTTCTGGAACAGATTTTATTTCTTCTTCACTTATGAAGCTTAGTTTGGTAAGATACAAAACTCGGGGTTGGAAATTCTTTTCTTTAAGAATGTTTGATACTGGCTCCCAGTCTCTTCTGGCTTGTAGAGTTTCTGCTGAAAGATCTACTCTTAGTCTGAATGAGCTTCCCTTTGTAGGTGACCTGACCTTTGTCTCAGGCTGCCCTTAACATTTTTGCCTTTGTTTCAAGCTTGGTAATCTGATGATTATGTGTCTTGGGGTTGCTCTTCTCATGCAGTATCTTAATGGTGTTCTCTGTGTTTCCTGAATTTGCATGCTGGCCTGTCTTGCTGCGTTGGTGCAGTTCTCCTGGATGACATCCTGAAGTATGTTTTTCAGCTTGTTTCCATTCTCCCTGTCTCCTTCAGGTACTCCAGTCAATCACAGGTTTGGTCTTTTTACATAGTCCCATATTTCTTGGAGGTTTTGTTTGCTCCTTTTTATTCTTTTTTCTTTAATCTTGTCTGCATGCCTTATTTCAGCAAGGTGGTCTTTGAACTCTGATATCCTTTTTTTCCACTTGGTCAATTTGGCTATTGATTCTTTTGTATGCTTCATGAAGTTCTCATGCTGTGTTTTTCAGCTCCATCGATCATTTATGTTCCTCTTTAAGCTGGTTATTCTAGTTAGCAGCTCCTCTAATCTTTTTTCGAGATTCTTGGCTTCTTTGCATTGGCTTAGATCATGGTTCTTTAGCTCAGCAGAGCTTTTTTTTTTTTTTTTTTTTTTTTTTCCTTTCTTCCGTTCTTCCTTTCTTTCTTCCTTTCTTTCCTTTCTTTCCTTTCCTTCTTTCTTTCTTCTTTTTTTCGAGACAGTCTCGCTCAGTTGCCAGGTGCCAGGCTGGAGTGCAATGGCATAATCTCGGCTCACTGCAACCTCTGCCTCCCGGGTTCAAGCAATTCTCCTGCTCAGCCTCCCGAGTACCTGGGACTACAGGCATGCACCACCATGCCCAGCTAATTTTTTGTATTTTTAGTAGAGATGGGGTTTCACCATGTTGGCCAGAATGGTCTCAATCTCTTGACCTCATGATCTGCCCACCTCGGCCTCCCAAAGTGCTGGGATTACAGAGCAGAGCTTTTTTATTACCCATCTTCTGAAGCCTACTTCTCTCCATTCATCCATCTCATCCTCTGTCCAGTTCTGTACCCTTGCTGGAGACGCGTTGCAACTATTTGAAGGAGAATAACCACTCTGACCTTTTGGGTGTTAGCATTTTTTCATTGATTTTTTCTTATCATCGAGTTTGTCTAGTTTCGATCTTTGAGGCTGCTGACCGTTGGATGGGGTTTTTGTGGGAACTTTTGTTGTTGATGCTGTTGTTGTTTTGTTTGTTTGTTTGTAATGGTAAGGTCCCTCTTCTGTAGGGCTGGTGCTGTTTGCTGGGGTTTCACTTCAGGCTGTATTCATCTGGTTCACTCCCATGCTTGCAGATGTCACTCAAGGAGGCTGGAGAACAGCAAAGACAAGTGCCTGCTCCTTATTCTGGGGTCTCTGACCTCAAGGAGCACCAACCTGATGCCAGTAGGATTGCTCCTGTATAGATGTCTAATAGCCCCTGTTTGAGGGTCTCACCCCATTGGGTGGCACAGGGAACAGGACCTGTTTAATGAAGTAATTTGACTGCTCCTTGGTGGAGAGGGTGTGTTTTGCTGGGGGAAACCCACTCATCTGGGATGCCTGGATTTCTCAGAACTACCAGGAGGAAACGCTAAGTCTGCTGGTCCACAGAGACTACGGCCATCCCTACCCCTATAGGGTCAGGCTCAGAGAGATCAGGGTTCTGTCCCTGAGGCTCTAGCTGGAGTTGTTGGCATTCCTGCATGGAGGCCCCACCCAGTGAGGAAGGATGAGTCAAGATGAGGCTGAAGAGGCACTCTGGCTGCAGTCTGACACAGCCAGTGTGTTGGGCTGGGGGAGATACCTCGTGGGACCAAGCTGTCCAGCTCCCCTGGCTCCAGCAGTAGAAAAGTGCAGCCTGGAGCTCTAGAGATGGATGCTGCCCTTCCCCCGCCCAGCGAGCTTAGTGTGTTAGGCAGTTATAAGTCCCAGTGCTGGCTGCTGTCCCTTCCCCAAGGAGCTCAAATGGTTTAGACAGCAGGCAGCTGTAGCTGTGGTGCTGGTCCCCACTCCCCCTGGGAACTTGTCAGGCTTAAGCAGATTCTAGCTCAGAGGCTGTTGGGAATCTGCACAGCTTTGGGGTTGGGACCCTAGGCCCCAGTGGTGTGGGTTCACAAGGGAGGTCTTCTGAACCCTGGGTTACACAGTTCCATGAAAAAAGCACAGTTTCCCCAGCTGGGTAGCACTCTAACTCACCGCCTCCCTTGGCTTGGGGGTGGGGTCTCCCCTGCCCCGTATGGCTCTGGGGTATGCAGTCATACCACACTACTCTTCCTGCTTCTCTGTGGATCGCGACAGCCACCTCAGTAGGTCTGATGAGAGAACCTGGCTACCTTGGCTGTTGATACAGGATTCACATGCTATTATGGTTCTTTGCAATGGGAGCCTCTGATGGCTGCTGCTTCTAGTTGGCCATCTGGGCCCCACCTTAGTATTCATTTCTGAGGGATAATTTCACTGGTTAGAAAATTGTGGGTAGACAAGGGTTTGTTTGTTTTTTTTTTTTTTTTTTTTTGGCGGGGGTGGGTTGTTTCCTACTTAAAAGTCACTGTTCCATTGCTTTTGGACTTAAGTATTCTTATAAGAGGTCCGTACTAATCTTTTTCCTGTGTGTGCACAATGTCTTTTTCTAGTTGTTCTGATATGTGTAAAGTACCTTTGTTCAGTCAACCAGTCTTCTAGTTTTCAATGGCTTGATTGTTGTATGCTTTGGAGTGGTTTGGGGTGTGTATATGTGTGCCTCTTTCTTGAAGTTCACTGAGATTCTTTATTCTCTGTATTTATAGCTTTCAACAAAGTTAGAAACTGTTGAGCCATTATTTTTCTGCCCCAGTCTGTCTCATCTCTTTCTGGGACACCAAGTATGTATATACTATGTGCTTTAATATTCCCACAAGTCACTGAAACTTCGTTTTATCAGTCTTCTTTTTCTCTTTGATGCATTTTGGATATATTCTATTGCTATGTCTTTAAATTTAATATTTCTTCTACAGTCTCTGACCTGCCATTAGCTTATCCAGTAAATTTTTTATCCTGGTATTTTGTCACCTCTAAGAGTTCTACGGCACCCATATTTATATCTTCCATTTATCTCATTATGTTCATGTTTATTTTACATTTTGAACATATAAACAAATTTATAGTCTCTGTTTTAACATCCGTGTCCACTAGTTCTATCATCTTTTTCATTTCTGATTCTGTTTCTATTGTCTGATATATGGTTGGGCTGTGTCCCTACCCAAATCTCATCTTGAATTGTAACTCCCAGATTTACCACATGTCATAAGAGGAACCTGGTGGGAGGTAACTGAATTGTGGGCGTGGGTCTTTTCTGTGCTGTTCTCATGACAGTGAATAAGTCTCACAAGAGCTGATGGTTTTAAAAGCAGGAGTTTCCCTGCACAAGCTCTCTTCTCTTGCCTGTTGCCGTGTGACACATCCTTTCCCCTTCCACCATGACTGTCAGCCCTCCCAAGCCAAGTGGAACTCTCAACTGCCCTCTTTCTTTTGTAAATTACCCAGTCTCAGGTATGTCTTTATCACCAGGGTCCAAACAGACTAATATACCAGGTTACGGGCCTTATTTTTCTGCCCTCTGTGTAACATTTTTTATTGGAAGCTGGACATTGTGAATTATACATGGCTGGTTGCTGGATTTTTTTTTTTTTGTATTGAAAAAAATGATTATTGGGGTGTGTTCTCTCTAGCAGTTAAATTACTTGTGTTGTTTTATCTTTTGAGACTTGTTTTTAAGTTCTTTCAGGGTAAATCTATAGTATTCTTATAGTATTGATTATTCTAGGGCTAACTTGGCCTCACTTCCAAGGCATGGCCTTTCTGGGTTCCCTACTAAATGTTTTACGTATTCAGTGTGGTCTTTCTATCTTTCCAGTCTGTCTGTTGGGAACTATAATATTTTCTAGCCCATTGTAATCTCTAGAGATATTCTTGTTTTCTTTCTAGCAATTTTTTTTTTTCTTTCCTAGAAGCTGTTCTTGCCTAGCCTCAGGGAGTTTTACCCTACCATTCATAGATTTCCATTG